GACTGTTTCTAATTTTAGATTCTAATTTTGGAGATATTGCACTCGTCGTTGCAGAGTATCTGTAAAATTAGAATCATCTTTTCTCAGAGTTATACTGAAAAACTAGTTCATGCATTTATTGTTTTATTATTATTATCAGGATTTCCTAAAAACTCCCTGGAAAGCCTTCAGTTGATCCAAAATGATGCAGCGAGTGTGCTGACGGGGACTAAAGGTCTCAAATAATCAGGCCCCATCCTATCTTTATGAACTCATATCACCCCAATAGAGCACTTTTCTCGCAGACCACAGGCTCGCTTGTGGTTCCTGGGATATTTAAAAGCAAAGCAGGAGGCAGAGCCTTCAGCTTACTGTAGAACCAGCTCAAGATGCACTGAGCATTTCTTCTTTGCGAACCCTTTTCTTTAATTAATAAATATTTGTAATATGTAGTCTGGATTTTCACAATGAGTCCTTTGTCTCGTCTCCCTCCGCTCACCCCCAACCAGACACAGTAGTCGTCTGCCTTTTCCTGAGCCATGTTCATTCCGGTTGTTCATGTTAAGAATGGCTTTTTCACACACATTTTAACATAACATTAGTACTGATACAAAAGTAGTTCTCTTCTGACACAGAGTGAAAAAACACAGAAATGATGAGGATGGAAAAAATGTCCTCCACGTGTAAAACCATTCCTGTTCAGGGTTTCTCATTGTTGCCCCTTTAATGCAGTTACCAAATCAACATCCCAGATGTTTAACTGACTTGATGCTATTCTCTGATCTAAAAAGTATTCCTTATATTTTTGTGTCTGAGCGGTGTAGAATGATTTAAACTATATTAATAGCATTTAAATTCATGCATGAATGCGTATTTACTGAACAGGACCCATACCTGTATCCCTCACAGACAGAGGGAGTCTCACAATCTCTTTCCTGGGTCAGTACCTCAGGGCAGTCCTGTCCTCCGTTAGCTGGCAACTGGATGATGAGCCGTTTCCTGTATTGCTTCTTTTTAGTGTTACCGCCTAAGGGAAACCACAAGAGAACACACTGATCCTTTAAACTGAAGTTTCCAAAATGCCCTGAATCTTTAAAGCTGTTTTTTAAAGATAGGATGTATTTATTATTAGCCTAGCTAGCATACTCACCCTGTACAAGAAGACAGCATTTCAAGGAGAGGCTAATATAACTGAGTGAAATCTCAAATGTCATCTCCATTATCTGCTCTATGGTATCCAATACAACAGTTAGAGATAATTGACTTTACAGGAAGTCCACTTCCAGCAGGATTACTATATCAGGTTAAAGCTTCCAGTGATTGAGTTTGGATAATTTATTAAGGACGAAAATGGTTTTGGGATGCATTGCAGCTGGACTATTACTTCTAAAAGTAAGCATCTTATAAGCCTAATGCACACTTCAACGTGAACGAAGGATCTGAGAATGTAACAAACAACAGCGATGTCTCTGCAATATTCACTCTATTAAAGCTTGTATAAGAGAGATGAAAGACAAATAGAGTGACTCATTTGTTTGGCTTCTGGTTTTCCATATTTACATGGAAACGTGTTCCTTTATATTGTAGAGTCTTTACCTTGCAATATAAGGTAAAGACTCTTCAATATAAAGCACCTCGAGGGGACTGATGTTGTGATTTGATGCTTTATAAACAAAACTGAACTGAATTGAATTCAAGCAGCTGCTACATCAGAAGTGTCAGCCCTCACTATAGCTATACAATCCTTTTTCATCATACCTTAGCTTAAAAAAACAAACACAACAATAACTGGACCGTCAAACTTCTTCTCCCACATTGCTTGCCATCTCCACTAGGTAACCTCCTTGGGGATCTAACCCTGGGAACCTTTGTTGGAAACACTGCAGTTCCATGGCATTTATGAAACATGTCACAACAGTCACAAGAGAACTGGGATATCTGATATTCCTTTTCAGTGAAGAGGCTGCTGCTATTATTTATCTGCTACAGCTAAAATAATGATTTGCAT